TGCATTGGGTCTGATCTGCGGACGGAAGGTGCATGCATTGGGTCTGATCTGCGGACGGAAGGTGCATGCATTGGGTCTGATCTGCGGACGGAAGGTGCATGCATTGGGTCTGATCTGCGGACGGAAGGTGCATGCATTGGGTCTGATCTGCGGACGGAAGGTGCATGCATTGGGTCTGATCTGCGGACGGAAGGTGCATGCATTGGGTCTGATCTGCGGACGGAAGGTGCATGCATTGGGTCTGATCTGCGGACGGAAGGTGCATGCATTGGGTCTGATCTGCGGACGGAAGGTGCATGCATTGGGTCTGATCTGAGAACAGAAGGTGCATGCATTGGGTCTGATCTGAGGACGGAAGGTGCATGCATTGGGTCTGATCTGAGGACGGAAGGTGCATGCATTGGGTCTGATCTGAGGGTGGAAGGTGCATGCATTGGGGTCTGATCTGAGGACGGAAGGTGCATGCATTGGGGACTGATCTGAGGACGGAAGGTGCATGCATTGGGGGCTGATCTGAGGACGGAAGGTGCATGCATTGGGGGCTGATCTGAGGACGGAAGGTGCATGCATTGGGGGCTGATCTGAGGACGGAAGGTGCATGCATTGGGGACTGATCTGAGGACGGAAGGTGCATGCATTGGGGGCTGATCTGAGGACGGAAGGTGCATGCATTGGGGACTGATCTGAGGACGGAAGGTGCATGCATTGGGGGCTGATCTGAGGACGGAAGGTGCATGCATTGGGGGCTGATCTGAGGACGGAAGGTGCATGCATTGGGGGCTGATCTGAGGACGGAAGGTGCATGCATTGGGGGCTGATCTGAGGACGGAAGGTGCATGCATTGGGGGCTGATCTGAGGACGGAAGGTGCATGCATTGGTTCTGATCTGAGGACGGAAGGTGCATGCATTGGGTCTGATCTGAGGACAGAAGGTGCATACATCTGGGCTGATCTGAGGACGGAAGGTGCATGCATTGGGGGCTGATCTGAAGTCTATGCACTGGGGCTGATCTGTGGCCTGAGGGTGCATGCGTTGGGGCAGAGCTGAAGTCTGAAGGTGCATGCATTGGGTCGGATCTGAAGATGGAAGGTTCATGCACTGGGGCTGATCTAAGGTCTGAAGGTGCATGCATTCGGTCTGATCTGAGGACTGAAGTCCATGCACTGGGGCTGAGCATGCTCCGTGTGATCAGTTGCCGTAGTGACACCGCGGAGGGGAAGTTGTATAATAAATGGGTTTCGCGTCATTAGCGGCACAACTAGAAGTACAGAAATAGAATGATCCGGAGCCCACAATGCGCTATTGTTCTCTGACACGCCGCTTGTGAACATGACACTCAATGTGAAAAATGCTGCTGACCCCGGGGCGACAAGATGTGCACCACATGAGGAGAGGAGACAAAAAGGGGGAAAACTGCATTTCTGCAGGAAAAAAGATGCGCTCTCGCTTTCCTTCCATTTCCTGACAAGACCGAGTACTCATTTCTGGGTCCTTATCAGCCCGGTCCCCCTCCCCCTCCCCGGGTTCCATCGCTCATCCTGAGCTTCTCAATAGACAGGTTATGGCTGAAGTTCCACTTTAAATGCGGTTCTACCTGTGACGCGGCCTCAGGGCCATCACACGAGGACACACAAAACCTGCCAGGTGATCGCATTGTGCTGGATAAACATCACAATGCAAATATGTCATCAGCCATTGTACATGCATGGGGAAAGATGGCAGCACCGAGGACTGCGGTCCGCCTGTGTAGCCCCACGGTCAGCCCGTGTAGCCCCACGGTCAGCCCGTGTAGGCCCACGGTCAGCCCGTGTAGGCCCACGGTCAGCCCGTGTAGGCCCACGGTCAGCCCGTGTAGGCCCACGGTCAGCCTGTGTAGCCCCACGGTCAGCCTGTGTAGCCCCACGGCCAGCTTTGCCACCACATCCTCCTGCCCAACCACACTCTGCTTGATACATCACTTCATTAACTTTTGCCTTTTATATATTCCTGGAGTTTGACTTTAATTTAAATATTAAAGAAGGTCTGCAGACAAACCATTAACTACACATATCAACATACTACCCGTACATGGAAACATACTACCCGTACATGGAAACATACAACCCGTACATGGAAACATACAACCCGTACATGGAAACATACCATCAGTCCTGAGCTGTACACAGCTCTGCCCCACAGCAGAACCAGGCTGATGACCTGACTTTCCTTCACTGCACTTAGACCAATTCAGCCCGGTCACCTCCCGCCCCCACCTTGTGATTGGACAGTAAAATGTATGGAAATATCTGCCTGGAGCGTACAACAAGAACAAAACAATAATAACAATACAACATCTGCAGGTGGCAGATATAATACAGAGCCGAGAACACAGGTGAGTCACAGGTGAACACGATTTACAATGAGCATTAAGTAGACGGCACAATAAAGGGAGGTGCGGCCGTGCAGGACCCAACGTGTACTCGTAAACAGAGGACTTCAAGAGACTTATTCCGTGGGATGACACATGCAGAGT